TAATAATAATAATAATAATAATGATAGTATCCCTACTATATCTTTTCTCACCACTAGTCCATGTATAAATACTAATAAAAATTCTTACAAATGCATTTTACGTTATGATTGTTGTTGTTACTGTTATTTATATTATTATTATTAAATATAATGATAATAATAATTAATAATAATGATAGTATCCCTACTATATCTTTTCTCACCACTAGTCCATGTATAAATACTAATAAAAATTCTTACAAATGCATTTTACGTTATGATTGTTGTTGTTACTGTTATTTATATTATTATTATTAAATATAATGATAATAATAATTAATAATAATGATAGTATCCCTACTATATCTTTTCTCACCCCTACTCCATGTATAAATACTAATAAAAATTCTTACAAATGCATTTTACGTTATGATTGTTGTTGTTACTGTTATTTATATTATTATTATTATTATTATTATTATTATTAAATAATAATAACATTATTATTATTACTATCATATTATTATTATTTTTATTTTTAACTGTAGTAGTATTAATATATGTAGCATAACGATAGTATTATTGAGCCGATATTAACGATAGTAATATTACATTCTATTATTAGTTATTATTAATTATTATCGTTATTTTTATTATTATGAGTAATAATTTGTTTTAAACAATGCTACAATTTCATTATAAAAATATATATATATATTATACGAACATATATCTTAATATATATATATATATACATACATATATTTAAATATATATAATTATAATTTTTAAATTCTTGTATAATTATATACACGAATTAATTTGTATACAAGTGCAGATAACGTTTTGTAATTGGATATATCATCTTTTGATCTCATTTAACATTCTTTCGTTCTTTCTTTCCTTCTCTCTCACTCTTTTTTCTCTCTCTCTTTTTCTCTCTCTCTTTCTCTCTCTCTCTCTCTCTTTCCCTTTCTTCATCTGATGACTATCTTTATACTTTTGGTTAGTTTGATTTTATTATGATTTTAGGATTGACTTTTAACATTTTAATTTTAACGTGTTTATACTTTGTGTGATGTTTTTTATGTTTTATATTTTTTTGTATTCTCTATCTCTCTCTCTCTTTCTCTCTCTTTTTTTCTTTCTTTCTTTTTCTTTCTTTTTTTCTTTTTTTCTCTCTCTCTCAATTGATTTTTTTTTCTCTCTCTCATCCACTCACTCAATTGATAAGTTACCATCGTGGGTTGTTAATGCAAAAGTTTCGCCATCACCGATATTGCATCGGCAAAACTTTCGATATCGAGTATCGAACCCGATATCGCCGGTACGTATCCGACAGAAAAAACACTCAATACCGACACTTTTTCAAGGTCAACTGGAAAAATTTTCTTTAAAGATTATTCCAAATTTCAGATAACTTAAACGCGTTCTGTAAGCCGTAAGTTTGAAATTCAAAAGTTAGTTTCAAATAATTTATCAATATAAGGTTGTCTTCTTGTTATAGATTGACCAGCTAATGCATTGGATGGGATGAATTTTTATATTCGTAGATATTCGTAGGCCATTTACAACATAAGAGGTGTGATTTCCTCTAATGCAAGTTTGAAGGGTACAAAAGAATCGGTATTGTCGGCAAAACTTTCAAAATTGAGTTCCGGCAGATTTTAGAACCGGTACTGGCGAAACGATATTTGAGTATCGTTAACAACTCTGTTTTGAATTTGAATTAGTTCATTCATCCTTCCATCCATCTATTTTCCACTTTTGTTCATTCCTTCATTCATTCATTCGTTCATTTGTACGTTCATTTATTCTGTACAGTGGTTGATAGGGACCAAAAAATTTGCCAAAATCATTTTAGATACACAAACACACACACACACACATGCATACATACATACATGCATACATACACATACACACAAACAAACATACATTCAGACACACAAACAAAGATATACATAAAGCACTTTACAGATGTGTCAAATTCTTGTACTCATCATTTATATATAAATAAATATGTATAATAAAAAAATATATTTATATTGTTATATACATTATATATAAACTTTTAAACTGTCGTGATTGCTAATTTAAAATATTTTCTTAGTATAATATATTAATTCAATTACTAATTAATAATATATTAATAATATATATGTATATGTATATATAACCATCTATATGAATCTATAACAGATATGCTCCGATACTATATTTAATAGCAATAACTGCTATATATATATATATATAATGTATATAATGATTAATATAATTAATTCTCTTCCTATAATTATCATTCTTGTTATTATTAATATCTCATTATTATTATTGTTATTTTATTATTATTTTATTTATTTATTTATTACTAATCGTCGTCATTGTTGTTACTATAATTAATGACCACCATGAACAATGTTGATATTTCTGATAACACTGTCATATATATATATATATATATATATATATCAAATATATATATAAATATATATATATAAACGATATGTTTCCAAAATAAATTTTCTTTCAGCCAATTTGTCTTTCCATTACGAGTTAAATTAAAGGAAAAGGTTAGCAGCAACTAGAGAAATTATGAAATAATCACCATCGCCAATATCATTATTATCGTCATCATCGTCATCATCGTCATCATCACCATCACTATTATCCCCATCCCCACCATCATCGTCATCATCACCCTAAACATCGACTTAAATGGGAACCTCATTTTAGTTTCTCAGTGAAACCTACATAAACGTTATTGTTTGTTTCTGTCACAATGAACCACATACCATAATCTTATAACAGAGTTCACCAATTCACCCCTGAAAGAGATTGACCATTAAACAGATTAAAATCGTTAGAAAAACCAACAGTAGATTTCTCAAACGTATTAATAATAATTGAGTAATGTTTATAGTTGTCATTTAAATAGCGGTGTAAACTGTCAGAATAATTATTTCTTTTATATTGTCTTGATGACTTCAGGTTGGTTTCATTTCAAGAATTTCAATTTGATCATCATAGAGTATGGCTATATCGGGTTGCAGTGTGTTGAACAGCTGTGATATTGGGTAGACGTCATTCGACTCCGAACCTGCAAATATGAGGCAATTTGAAAGAGTGTGCACATTCAACCGGTTGGTGATCACGGCCAATATTTTATTAAGTCTTTCGGAATATTTTGCTATCGCTGATGTAGAACTGCAGTTGGAAACTACGTATTTGTCTGTCTGACGGGAGCTGCTAAGAGGGCACAGAGGACTTGGTATTTTGCCCCATTCTAATAGGTTAGCATTTGCTGGCAGATGTTTAACCAGGTATTTTCTAACAAACTTGTATAGGACTTCAGTAATATTTTTCGTCGACTTTGCCCAGCGTGAGATATAATTATGTTTAATGAATTTTTTCATTTTTTGAAAATTATTGAGCCTTGACAATTTAGCGAGAGAACCTGATTTAAGTATGAATGGATTCTTTTCTCATCAGGTTGGTTGAGCGACGACTTTGAGAAGCCAGATTTTGAAAGGGTACTATCAACTCTTACAAAATCGATTGTAGATTCTTCATAGAGACAACGAATCTCTTAGTTGTCGCTAGTTTGGAAATAGTTACGAGACTTTAATTTCATTTTTTTTTTCTACCGTATCTTTTACACGCAACCACTAACCGGCATACCTAGCCAACCTCCAACAAGATTCACAATCAGTCCATCAAGGCTCTCCCCTATCCAGGTCAATAACAACAACAACAACAATAATAATAATAATAATAATGAATAATAATAATAAATAATAATAATAACAATAATAATGACGTCACTATCAGTAACAACAACTACTACAACGACGAAAACAACATCAACAACAACAAAATCAACAACAAAATCAACAACAAAATCAACAACAACAACAACATCAACAACAACAACAACAACAACAACAACATCAACAACAACAACAACATCAACAACAACATCAACAACAACATCAACAACAACAACATCAACAACAACATCAACAACAACAACATCAACATCAACAACAACAACATCAACAACAACATCAACAACAACAACATCAACAACAAAAGCATCTGATAACAAATAATCGATAACGCTTTCACGGACCATTCTTTAAGCTCCATTTAATTAAACTTTAATTAAAACTTTCATTAACGCAAGAAAAAAAATGCAAATTTCCAATACACGCAAAGTCTCTTACGCATTAAATCCTGTTATAAAACACCAGCGTATTCCTTTGTTATTATTATTATTATTGTTATTATTATTATTATTATTGTTGTTGTTGTTATTATTATTATATGATAATTTCTTTATTTTCATTCATTTTGTAGTATATTCACGATGATTGGTTTTATATTTCGAGGTTTGATGATAATAAAAAGAGTTTCCATTACTATTATTATTATTATTATTATTTTTATTGTTACGCACGTATAAAAGGCCGATTTTGCCTGGCGCAGTGTAGTTTAAAAATATTCGACTTAATGTAAGTTAGAATGAATGAATGAATGAGTGAGTGAGTGAGTGAATGATTGAGTGAGTGAGTGAATGAATGAGTGAGTGAGTGAGTGAGTGAGTGAATGAGTGAGTGAATGAATGGATGGATGAGTAATTATAATTACTATTATCATTATTATTATAATGAAACGAATAAAAAAATTTTCACAGATGCAAGTACACGCATTGTGCAGATATGGATAATTATTATTTTGATGATACCAAATTACAACAACATCGTCATCATCCCCGTCATTATCATCATCTCCATCATCATCTCCATCATCATCACCATCATCATCACCATCATCATCACCATCATGATAGAAATAGACCACCACCAGCAAAAACATCAACAACAGCCACAATAATAATAATAATAATAATAACAATACAAACACCATCACTACCAACACTAAAAATATTCATCCGCGCTGATGCGGTCGAATTTTTGGGCGTAGGGGCTACTTTCCCCTCCGACATTCACCTAGCCCTGATGTCTTCATACGTCACTTTGAGGTCACAGTTCACGGAAATTAGGCAGCAGTACAGACCTCACAGTAGCGGGAACGGAAGGGCGGCCATGTTGTATCCCGGGGTTATTACTTCCCCCGGAAATGGGACTAACTATGGGACTTCGGAGTATCCGTACAGCGAGGATGAGACCCGGAATAATAGCGATATTCTTATGTTTCCTGTTTTAGCTGGGTTTATTTGTGTAATTTTTAAAAAAATTTTCAATTTTTTAATTTAATAAAACAGTAATAGATTTTTTTTTTTATATAAATTAACTCAAACATATTTGTGACCAGAAGTGCAATAAAAATAACAAATTCTCTACAAAACACACGATAAACGCCTCATTAATAAACTCCCGCTAGTACGCTAGTGATGGCATATAACATACCGGAACTTTCGAATACTTTGACTCTGACAATGGACCATGTTGTCGGTATATACAACGGTACCTACACTTGGTGGAACGATACGGCATTCAAAATACAAAATCCCAATTCAACTTTTCCCAATGCATCGATAAAACCGGTTGTTCGGTACTTCCCGGCCGGTTCCACCTACATTTTCACCAAATGTCTGTCGGTACATAGTCGATTCTGGAATCAAAGTTACGGTACGTTTTGGGAGAAGAGTTACTGGAATGGTAGCATCAATTTTGAGTACGGTCATCGCAGTGTAGGGATGGGCGATACGATAACGAGTCTGGCTTACAGCATCGGTTATGTGCCGGTTTGGCTGGCCGAGAGTGTTAACTTGAGGTGAGGTTTCGTTTTGCTATATTTTGTGCTCGACAATTTTCCAAATTGATAATAAATTTTAAAATGAAAATTTTTGCGATACGATGTTTTTAATGAATTTATTTCTTTGCGTGTTGAAATTTTTTAAAATATTTCAAAAATTTCACCAACATTTCAACGGAATGATAATCACCAAATAAGGTACGCAACAATAGTGAACCGAATTGGATCGGTGACATCTCCAAAATCGATGAGGAATCTTCTCAACTCGATGGATTCGAACAGGCAGGCAATATTCTCCACGAGACAGCTGATTTCGAATCTAATCGAGACCGCTCCTCTGAATACTTACCCGATTATCGGTTATTCATACATGATTGTCAGACTCGCATCTAGTGCTGTCTGCCCTGAAGTTGTTAACTTGGCTAGGTTTGTGTGTGTGTGTTGTTGTATATGTGTGTGTGTGTGTGTGTGTGTGTGTGTGTGTGTGTGTGTGTGTGTGTGTAACGTGTAACATAAGGTTTAAGTTGGATAATAATTACTACTTGATAATTAGTATATTGGCATACCGGTGTATAATTAGTAATATTAATATATTAATATAAACATACAAAAAAGAAAACTTTGAATAAGCAAACGCACATAAAAACGTATACAAACACATACACAAACATACAAACACACACACACAAACACACGCACGCACACATGCAAACACAAAGATACATAGAATGGCTAACGACTAGCCAACAAGCGCGAGAGATTGCATCGAGTTTCGGTATGTCAACCGTCACCAAAGATATGGCCACTGGTATAGAGAATCGAGTTTTGAATCGATTCATTTGCGGTAAGTATTTAGTCAAGGATTTACTATCAAAGCAGAAACAGGAAGAAGAGAGGAAAACAAACAGCTGGAAAGTCCCATTCTCGGTTTCAGTTTCGATTTTCTTGTTAGTTTTGGTCGGTTTAGTAGCAGTTGGACTGCACCAGAGAAAAAAGTTCATCAAAATGATCGATCGAGATGATTGGAAAATCGACTCATCCGACATCGAGTACATCGTCGGAAAACGGAGCTCCATGGAATTTGCCAGTACCGATCAAATTTATTCCATTTCTAGCATCAATAACACTGACAACATCGATACTAATACTACCACTACGGCTACTACCAATACGGTTACTACTACTACCACTACTACTATTACTACTGCTGCTGCTACTAATAACAAAAATATTCAAAACAATAACAACAATCCGATAAAAAACTTGAAAAAAACTATTTCTCACAACTTAACAAAATTTCAAATGAATCTCAGCGGAGGATCGCAATCGAAACCGACGACTCAACTTGCCCATCCTAAATCCACTCGAATATTCGGTAAGTACAAGGACGTGGGGATGTGCTTCTCGGAGATGTGGCTGGGAGAGAGTTTCAGCGCTAATTTTAAAGTCAGACAGGTTTTAAATAGGATGAGGAACTCCATAGAGAATGAAAACTTGGCGAGGTTCTACGGGTTAACTTTAATCGGCGAGAGACTGTACATAGCAGAGGAGTTCTGTGAGAAAGGAAACCTCATCGGTGTGCTGAAGCACGCTAAATATAAACTAGATGATAATTTCAGGTAGTTTTTTTAGTTTTTAATTTTTAAAAATAAAATTGTTAATTTCATTATCGAGGTTTACAAGATTCAGGAAGAACTTTCCCCCAATTGGTAAAAATCATTCGATCATAAGTAGTTGTAATTTATACATTAGCCCATCCCTGAACACAACACTAACTGAAAAACTAACTTTACAATCATTTATTTAGTTACTAAATTATAAAACAGCTATAAACGAACTATCAGATATTCCATATCGAAAGATTTGTTGCAAGGTCTAGCCTACCTACACCGCAACGAAATAACGCACGGACTCCTAACCACTGACTGCTGTGTTGTCAACTCGAGGTGGGCGGTTAAAATAACAAGCTGGTGTTATAACCTCATTCATCAAACTGGTTTCTCGTCGTCTGGGGGCAAAAAATTTACAAAAAGTTTGCTAACAATTTATAAAGAAGGACTTAAGGAGAGTGAAAAAAGCCAATTTGAGTTTTGGCTACCTCCTGAGGTTTATTTTGAGAACGGTCAGACCTACCAAGCCACCAGACAAAGCGATATATTCAATTTCGGACTGATTTTGTTTAAAATATTTTCAACATCATCCAACGAAACTTCATCAGAGCATGACGATCAAACGCTCAATCAACCGAATCGAGACGATTCCGATAAACCGATACAGGTACCGAGACTAGCGAAACTCGCGACGACTCGTTCTCTACCGCCGAAAGTAAAATTCATAATAGAGCGAGCCTGTCTAGCTGATACACTGGCAAGGCCGAACGCCGAGAAACTGAGTTACATGCTGAGGTCTGCACAAGCCTCGCGCAAAAATAACATTCTTGACAACATCGTCGAAACCATTGAAAAATATGGCAACGAAATGGAGACGAGAGCCAGTGAACTGCAAGTTAAATTGAAAAACTACATTGACGAGAGAGATAAATTTCTATCCAAAACCTTTCCGAGTTGGACTTTGAGACAGGTTATAAAACTGTTATATTGTTATAAAACTACATAGGCTTGTTCGCTGCAAACATACTATTAGGTAATATAACGAAACACACAACATATCATGACTTAAGATAACATTGCAATGCATAGTTTAACAAAATTAAACACAACGTCTCCATAACCATCATAGTTTTTCAAATCATCATGTTCATAGCAACAGCTTCTAGTAGTTATAATATAATAATAATTATTTATAATTATGTTATGTTGAGAATACGATGATAAATTCCAAATAATCGATAATAATTATACCGAATTATTTATCGCAGATTCATCTCGGTAATCGAAACGATTCGAGACTCCACAAATCGTTAACGGTTCTGGCAATCAAGATTTGGTTTCAAACTAACCAGACGATATCCGGTTCTGACATCCCCAGTGGAAACTATGAGAATTACGTGAGAGATTGTATTGATGAGTTTTCTAAAAATCTTGATGATCTACTCGATGAAAATTCTTGGCTGTTCAAAATCGACCAAACCTCAACTAGTGTTGTGTTAATCGCCGGTTTCAATGGTATGCCGGTCGGTCAGAATGTCGGTAAAATGGTCCAACTTTCGTTTGCGTACCGAAAATCGATGGAAAAGATGATGACCGATGTATTCAAACGTTACAGTCCCACATACACTTTGCAGGTTAATTAATCATTAAAAAATAATCATATTATCCACACAATTTTTTTTTAAATATTATCAAATATAAATATTACTTCTTAACAAATGTACAGAACGCCGAAGCTTGCACATCCCCGATCCGATTAGGCACAACCCTACATACCGGTCCGGTATATTTTTACGTTAATTACGACCCAAGCGACTTGACGCTTTGTAAGTTTGTGGCACACGGAGAAGCTCTTACGACAGCCACAAAGATCAATGAATCATTCGGTATCAGTTTGAATAAGTCCTGCACGGTTATTACCGACGAACTTCTTAAGCATTTGCCGGTATCGGTGAAGAATATTCGAGTCCAGTCCATCCCTAATGTAAGATCTGTTTTAATCTTGTTTTTTAGTTGATTTTTATTGATAAATATTGTTAAATAAGCCATAAAATGGCTGGCTGATTAATACAATCCTTTCGAGCTATATGCCATTTGACGTCACATAATTAATTACACATAACATAATTATTACATCAATCAATTTTCATAATTATTAAGAATTAATTAATTTTTATGTTCATAATAATCAACATAATTATTACATAAATACAATAATTTAATAATTAAAAACTATTAAGAATATTAACCAAACGTTATTTTTTTTAGTAAAATTTATAAAGAAATTTTACCTTAGGCAATTGAAGACATCAATTTATACTGGATCGAGCCAGAAATAATCAAAAGAGAGGAGAAAAATATGCCACTCATCAATTAACAAACCATTAAAATAATTCCAATTATAAATTATTAATTATATTAGTTATAATTATAGTACGATAATAATAATTAATTATAATATAACCGTAGCAAAAAAAAATGAAATCATCTCAGTTGATTTTATTTCGAGAAAATAAAGCCAGATAGACAAAAATGAATTTTAATTTGAAACATGATTATGTGATTTTAATTACTCATAGGCACTTAACAAAAAATAACATGATGTGTACATGTACACATACAAACACAAACAAACACACATACAAACACACGCATACAAACACACGCATACAAACACACATACACAGACACAAACAAACACACGCATATACAAAACTAATCAATTGTTAGATTTTTTTCACATTCTAAAAACGCCAAATTTGGTCTGTTCGATTGGCTGGTTGAGAGCAACACTCAAACTCAATCCTAAAACCAGGCGAGTATCTTTTGGATCGATTATCCCATCATCCCATAATCTGAATGAATGAAAGAATGAATGATAAGTGAATGAATGAATGAGTAAATAAATGAATGAAAGAATGAATGATAAGTGAATGAATGAATGAGTAAATAAATGAATGAATAAATAAATAAATAAATGAATGAATAAATGAATGAACGAATGAGTGAGTGAATGAATGAATGTATAAACAAGTAAAAGAATAAACGAGTGAAAAGATGGATTGGTATATAGTAATAACTATACACACGCAGTATCGTGTCCACACACAGAAACACACACACACAGAAACACACACACAAAAACACACATACAAACAAACACACACACAAACACACGCGCACACACACACACACACACACACACACAAACACGCACACACACACACACACAAACAAACACACAAACACGCACACACAAACACACACACAGACATACACACACACACGCACCTAGCACTAGCATAGTACGGATGTCCCTCTCTTTCGTACTTCTCCAAGATCGGCTTACTTATCGTCTCTTCATCCTCTTGAGTGAACTTGGTGGGGATGATTGTCGAAGGGTGGTGATGACCATTTGGAAAATTATGCTAATTATAGTTAAATAATAATAATAATAATTACAATAATAATAAACAATAACAATAATAATAAACAACAACAAAAATAAAAAAAAAACCTCCTTTCCGATCCTCTTTCTTTGGTCCCTCGCAACGGTGGTCAATACGCCGGCAGCCTGTTCGCCGCCCATCACCGAGATTCTGCTATTGGGCCACGAATACAAGAACCGCCCACTTGTGAATATTAATTAGGTCGATCGTTAATGTGATTGGTTGGTCAGGCAGGGCGAGTTTAGGGTGTTTTGATTGGTCGATTTAAGTAAGTTATGCACTAAATGAGGCCGACTTTGAATGAACGACCAGGTTGATTGGATTGAATTATTTATTGGGTTATTTTGATTGGTCGATACGAATAGTTTATGAATATTAATTAGATCGATCGTTAATGTGACTGGTCAACTAGAATGGATTGAAATGATTTAATTGGTCAATCCGAATAGTTTATTTATAAATGTTAACGAGAACGTTTCGTTGCTGCTAATTGGCTGGTTTGTTCAGTTCATATTTAACTTATCAATGAGAAGTTCATCGAAGTAGATTAAAGTGCTGTGATTGGTTGGTTTGTTGTTTGAGTAATTGGCTATTAATTTGAATAAATTATGTTAATTAACTGACCCGTAGGCTCGACCGCACATGCCATAATTGCCGGCCCCGTACGATCCGCCGATGATGACCGTCAGCTTGGGAACCTGGGCACACGACACGGCTGTCACCATTTTCGCGCCATTTTTTGCAATTCCACCCGCTTCCGCTTCCCGTCCGATCATGAATCCTGATGATGATGATGGTGGTGATGATAGTGGTGGTGATGATGATGGTGGTAGTGGTGATGATGATGGTGACGATGGTGGTTGTAATGATGATGGTGGTGGTGATAATGATGATAGTTGTGGTGATGACGATGGTGGTTGTGATGATGACCTGTAATGTTCTGTAGGAAGATTAGAGGAATATTTCTCTGGGAGCACAACTGGATAAAGTGAGCGCCCTAATAAAAGAATAAAAGAATGAACGAGTGGATGAATGGATAGGTGGTTGAATGTTTAGTGGGACGAATGAATCACTAGCTGAACACAAAGATGAACAAAGATAAAAAACAAAGATGAAATAACGATAAATGAATGAACGTAAGAACGAACGAACAAAAGAACAAAAGAACGAACGAACGAACGAATGAATGAACAAAAAGTAATAACAAACTTTCAAGGCAGTTTCAGAAAAAAGAACACCATTGTTGGCTAATATACCGACAGGGTACCCCCAAATGCGCGCGAAACCTTTCATAGTGAACGAGTGACATGAAACTAATCTCAAAATACTTTTATTTTATATGTGCGTGTGTGTGTGCGTGCGTTTAATGGATTATTTAAAAATATGAATGAATGAATGAATGAATGAACGAATGAATGAATGAACGAACAAGTTACCAGTAACCAGAGTCTCGCCGTAGAGAGCTTTAAACTCATCAAACTCACTACCATCAACGATTCTTGCAATAACCTTTCAAAAAAATATTAACCAATCAAAACGCAGGTAAAATCATTCAAATGTAATTAGGTCACTAATCGCCCAATCAAAAACAACTAGATCATTTATCAACCAATCAAAAACAACTAGATCATTTATCAACCAATCAAAAACACCTAAATCATTGATCGACCAATCAAAAACAACTAAATCTTTGATCGACCAATCAAAAACAATTAGATCGATGATCAACCAATTGCAAAAAAGGAGGTCAGACTAACTTCCTTCACGTCAAAAGGTCTTTTAAGGTTTCCGCCAACAATTCCATAAATCTCATCGCTCGCGTATAAGGGGTCCACGGGTTTGTATGACGTCACCTGGCGATGATGATGATTGCAATGGTGATGGTGGTAATGATGATGACGATGATGTTGGTGGCGATATTTGTGATGTTGTTGTCGGTAAATGAGCGAGGTGATAACGCTATTACACTAACTTAGTAGTCATCATCGTTAAGATAATCACAATCACCATCATCACAATCATCATCATCACAATCATCACTGTAACCACCACCACCACCATCATCATCATTATCATCACGATAATTATCACCATCACCATCCCAATCATTATCATCATCATCATCATCACAATCGTCATCACAATCATCACCGTAACCATCATCGTTATCATTATCATAGTCATCAACATCATTATCATCACCATCGTCATCATCATCGTCATCATCATCATCGTCATCACCATGGGCATCTTGTGGTTGATATTCTTCAGGCATCTCCTGGCCAGGTGAAGAGCGTGTTCGTCGTCCAACGCGTAGTAATCAGTGACGCCAGACTTCCTGATAATGATGATGATGACGACGATGGCGGCGGCGATGATGATAGTGATGATGTAGTAATGATAGTGATGATTATGATGATGATGGTGGTGATGATGATGATGATAATGATGACGGAGAAAAAGTAGCAGTAATGTTGAGAATGATTTCCAGAAGAAAGATATGAATCATGAACAACATCATCACAATCGTCATCATCATCCTCACAATCGTCATCATCATCATCATCATCATCACCACCATCGTCATCATCATCATTATCAGCACCTGCAGTGGAGGTCAGCACCTCCTAATTCCTCAGCGGTCACTTCTTCACCGGTGGCTGCCTTGACCTTTGGGGTGATGATGATGATTGGGGTGATGACGATTGTGATGATGATGATAATGAACCAACCAGTCAATCAACCAACCAGCCAGTAAGCCAGCCAGCCAGCCAGCCAGCCACCCATCCAGCCAACCAATCAACCAACTAGCCAGCCAGCCAGCCAGCCAGCCAGCCAGCCAGCCAGCCAGCCAGCCAACCAACCAACCATCCAACCAACCAACCAGCCAGCCAATCAACCAACCAACCAACCAGCCAACCAACCAACCAACCAGAGGCGGTCCTCCCAAAAAGACAGTGCCTTGTTGTCTGACAATGATACTCTCGTCCGCCATGCTAGGCACGTAGGCACCACCCGCGGTGCAACTGCCCATCACTACGGCTATCTGGGGAATTCCCTGAGCTGACATGCGCGCCTTTTGGCGGGAAAAAATGATGAAAATGATGGTGAACGTCGTTGTAGGTGAATCAAGTTTTTAAAAACAGATTACAAGGTAAGAAGCACTAATATTATTTATCATTGTGCCCCGTCATCCTCATCATCATCATCATCGTCATCATCCCATACAGTCCAATTATCATCGCTATAACCACCGCCATCATCACCATCATCGTCGTCGTCACCTGATTGTAGAATGATCTGCCGAAATGGAACTTATCAGGAAAGACCTCGTCTTGCATGGGCAGGTAGGCTCCACCCGAGTCGACTGTGATTGGTTGAAAAAAATGAATGAATAAATGAACAATCAAACGATTGAATGAATGATCGAATGAATGACTAAACGAACCACAAAATAAATAAAGATATAAAAGTTGACCCAATTTATTTAATAATGACCTAGATAAATACAGGGCAGTCTGTTTTCTTCGGCAATCTCCTGTGCCCTCATGTGCTTCTTCACCGTGATTGGATAGTAAGTGCCCCCCTTTACCGTCGGGTCATTGGCTATCACCATGCATTTCACCCTTGGAAAGTTTTATAGGGGGTAGAATTATAATTATCATTATTGCTATTATTATTATTAACAGTAGTAGTAGTAGTAGTAATAGAGTTAATGTTAATATTATTTTTTAAGTTTTTAATTCGTTAACGTAATAATAGGTTAAAACTCGCGGGCCACGACCACAATTCCATGCTTTCGAAAACTGACCCAATTTAACTGACCAAAAACCCAAATATTTGTACCCCTTCCAATTGACCTACTAACCCATATAGATATTTGTACCCCTTCCAATTGACCTACTAACCCAGATAAATACTTGTACCCCTTCCAATTGACCTACTAACCCAGACACTTGTCCTATCCCAGTGACCAGACCGCCAGCTGGAACGTCGTCTGGGACATACATCTTGTAGCCGGCAAATTGAGATAGCTCTAAAAACGGCGACCTAGTAAGTTTTTGAGTAGTTTTTATGAATTATTATTTTACAAAGTATGATTTATTCATTCATTCATTCATTCATTCATTCATTCATTCGTCGAACCCTGGATCAAGTAGTCTATCAATCCTTTCCCTGACTAAGAGCTTCTTTCTGGATAGATGAAGTTGTCTGGCTTTCTCTCCTCCACCTACAAATGAATGAATGAATGAATGAATGAATGAATGAATGAATGGATAAATGAATGAATGAATGGATAAATGAATGGATGAATGAATGTAAAAATGAATTAATAAATGAATTATCTAATTAAAGAATTAATGGGTAAATGAATGAACAAATGAATGAATGAAATAATCATTAAATAAAAAAAGTAGAGTGAGTGCAATACATTAAAAATTGTTTGAAAAAATAATTTTTAATCATAAACGACCTAGGACTATCTTGTTGACTTCATTCTTCAAGTCATCAACAAGGCTTTTCATATGTGCATAATTATCCTGAATGATGCATGGATGAATGAATGGAAAAATAATTAATTAAATTGGAAATAAAAAGATGGTTAGATGCCTGAATAGGTCAAATAAATTAAAAGAAGAGATAAATAAATCATAAATGGCCAGAAAGTAAAAGAATTATCAAAAATTTGTTAAACTGTTAATAATATGCATTCTCTTAATTAACTTAATAATTAATAAAAAAGTGATTCATCTTGGCACTAGCTAAAAAAACTAATCATTTAACTCAAAAAACAAAATGACATCTAGATCATTTTACCCAAAACCAACAAACAATAACTAAAAGTCATTTTGACAGTCATTACACTAACCCTATATTCTTTTGAAGTATGATCCGGACTTGTCCCAAGTTTGACTACGTTGTCAGTGTGGTAAGAATTTTTAGCATTTTTTAAAAGCAGCGAAATTCGCAGACGATAATTATTTCTTAATAACCACATTTATTAAAGTTAATTAAAGTAAATTAATTTTCTATATATTGTTATAAATATCGTGGTTCGTAATGTTAAAATTATTTAAATTTGAATTTTAAAACAATACACATAACGCTCGATTAACTTTTAAACATAGGTTAAATGTATAAAAGTGAACGCATGCAATAAACTTTATTCATCAATAATTGGATGAATAAATATATAAATTTATTCTAGTTATATGTATTAAACAGTATTTGATTGAACAAAATAGTATCATAAAATTCGATTTCATTGCGATATCGATGATGATGATTGTGACCTGACTAATTAAAAAACATCAAATAAAATTTATTAAATAGGATGGGTAATTCGTAGCGAAATCGTTGGAGGAAATGACGTCATGTTAACAGTAGTGCATGGTAGCTAATCAGCCGTTATAAAGGTTATTTTCAATTCCTATCAAATAAATTTGACCAAATATCATACGCAGGCAGAACTAAATAAAGAAATAGATAGATAGATATATTATATAGGTAGTTATAATACATTTCTAATGTTGTATTTACACATTCAAATTGTACAATTGTGTTATGGTGTAGTCTCAAATTATTTTGAATTCTCAGAAAAATTTAAACTTTTGACTATGTTGTACTAGTTACTTTTATCAACAATTTAAAAAAAAATTTCAATTTGATTTCATCGCGATATCGATGATGATGATTGTGACCTGACTGATTTGTTATATTGGGATATTCGTATATGAAGCGAGCAAAATTTTAATATAAAAGCGCCTATAAATCTACGCATATTGGCTCAGCTTGGCTTGGAATTGGATGTTAAGCAAGGTGTTTTGAATTCTATCCATGTATACTAGAATCCATGTATACAATCCAATATGATTATATGTTTATAAAAAAGCAATATAGCAGATTCAACCAGCCAATCAGAAAGTTTCGAAGGCGTTCGTTCGATGACTTCAATTTAGTACGGTTAGCATTGTTGTTAAGACTGTATGATAGTGTAGTACATACATTAAATAAGTTTTTTACTGATGTGAATGATTGAAATGATGAAAATGTATGGTTGAAACGAGTATAAATAGGAGCTGAAAAAACGTTGAAATCAGATCAGGCATTTCTGCCTCGCTCGAGTCGGAGTGCCTGATCTCATTTTTTTATATTTATATTTTTTAAATTTATTTATTTTTATTTAATTTTATTTTATATAGAGTTACATAGGGTTATATAGAGTTATATAGAGTTTGCATGTCTGTGGTTTGTGTGTTTGTATGTTGTATTTTTTTATATTTTAGGTGGGTTCTTTAGCGGTTGCTCATACATACATACATACATACATACATACATACATACATACATACATACATACATGCATGCATACATACATACATACATACATACATACATACATACATACATACATACATACATACATACATACATACATACATACATACATACATACATACATCATGTTTGTTTGTGTGGTAGTATTTTATGTTCTGTTTTACTCCTTTTTCTCTTTCTTCATGAGTCTTGAGTTAAGTTAATGAAGCATAGGTAGGTGAGGTAAAAATTAATTTATTATATAGGTAGGCTAGGGCATAAGGTAATTTAGTTACATAGGTAGGTTAGGGACTTCTATTCTTTTACTCTACTTGGTGGTGTGATTTTTGTTTTATGTTTTTTTTTGTTTGTT